GAGCTATGTATCTCACTCAAGCATAGCCAAACTTTCTTTAGATTTCTGCAAACCTGAAAGAAATAAATCCTCAGTAGAGCTAATCCTGTTTTTAAAGTCTTCGGGTATAGAGTCCTAGACAATAGGTAAGCTTTAATGAATATAGTGTCGCTAAATTATTATTTCTTGGTAAGTGACCATAGTGGATCATCCAAATCTGTATTAGAACTCTGGTCCATTGTGTATATAGTTAGAAGACAGCTGTAATATGTGAACATTGTATCTCTTCCAAATAAAGCGATATAACTGATTTCCCCGTATTTCATTCCTATAGCAGATAACAGTTACCTGTTCAAATTTCAGAAAATCCTGTATAGCAGGGAGACAGTCCATGCATCAAATGTTTTTTTCTGCCTGAAGATTTTATAAATATAGATAATATAAATAATATGTCCACAAAAACTATGTTTCAGATACGGGAAAAATGATATGCAGATTAATATAGGGTAACTCTTTCCTTTGATGGTTACTTAGGATTCTATCATCAAGACAGGTCAGTAACTGAATCCCCAGGGAATTTCAGCTGTAACAGAGTAAAAACCTCTAACATAAGGAGATACTAAACAGATTCCCTTATAACTTTGCTAACTTGATTCTAACTTAAATCTTTTTTTCAATTTAAAAAAAAGGCTCAATATATTATTTAACTGTTTTTTGAAAAATGCATGATCCTTCACAACCCAAAGGAACAATCTCCAAAATTAGTGGAATTGGAATAGAATGGTGCTCTCTAGGCTTAAAAGAAGAACAGATACAGATTTAGGAAAACAAAAAGAGGAAATGGCAAACAATTTGGAAATCAGATGGCTTTTTATCAGCTTCCATACAAGGGAAGTGGTGGAAGATAAATTGTTAGTATTTAATTCCAATCAATAGGGTACACGTGTCTCATAATTACACACGAGAAGATCAACTACCATTCTTGAAAAAGTTACTGATAAAATTTGATTATTAGCTTCACAGAGAAGCTAATTTATCAGATGTGGATAGATTATATAAACTATCCTTATAATAACTTCTTTTAATAAATGTAGCAATGTACGAAAACTATGATTGAATGCTCACATATATGTATTTTGCATGTTACCAGCATCTTGTATTCTTATTTGTTTCTTGCCTTAAGAATGAAAAAAAAATCCTACATTTAAAAATTCAGAAAATCTAAAAGGAGGAAAATTCTTCACAAAACTACATGTGAACCATATTAACTTGACAGAATCCTTACACTGTAATATTAATGCTGTTCAGCTGAGTCCTGGGTTACCCTAGCCTGTCTGTATCATTTTAAAGTATAATATATGTTAACATAGCTTATTCTGGAAGAATGACTGCCTATTTAAACTTACTGCATCATATCCTATTTATTCACTCACAAGCAAGAAAGGAAACAAAATGAGTGGTAAGTTGTAAAATATTAAAGATTAATATCTACACAGCACAAACTTCAGAGAATAAAAAAGGCTGATTTTCCTTTGATCCATTAGACTAAACTAGAACTCTAAACTAGAAATGTCTAAACATAAGAAAAATCCAAATACTGCAAGTGGAATTGTTCAGATTTTTACTGTTTTGCTGAAAATGTCTTCTTCTAGACAACAGAAAATAAATCTCATAATGTGCACCATTACTGGACAACTGTGGCAAAATCTGAAGCAACACAGCATAGTACCTCATATGCAACTTAATTGGTTAAAAAAGCTGAATAATTATCTTTCATTATGCTAACTTTTTTAATGTCCAAGAATATTTTAAGCAATTCAATTTATAGTCCATAAGAATATCTAGATTATTCCATATTTCCAACTGTCAAGTCAATCTCCTTCATCCTATACCTGTTCCTTTGATTTTATTTACTTAGTACCTCAATACTGGACTTTACATTGAATTTCTTTCAGTAGCTTTAAAGTTTGCTTTCTTCCTTTTGCTGCTAATTATTGTTTCTGTTTGCTTTGTGTTTTAGGCAGGCTTAGTAACTACTTCCTTCATGCTCATCCAAATAATTCACAAAAATGATGAATGCCACAAGGATTAAGAAGGCACTTTTGCTATCAAGATCTGCATCTGAAATAACACAAACATTAATGAACACTTGTTTCATATGACTCTGCAATCTGCCGTGGACTGAAATATGAATATCAGGATTATAAGGTTGAAAATAAAGACTCTTTCCAGTCAAACTTGGCTTCTGGTGAGGATCTAGAAATGATCATGTTGTTTTTAGTAATAATATGTAAATGATTTGCCACTATTTACTTCCAGAATTATGAGGGATTTTAATATTGTTATTGAAATTGTAAATAATACGGAAAGTTCCTAGCCAACTGCCCATCCAATATAAGCTAAGATCAGTAATGGTGCTGAGGTAAAACTTGAATTAAGAGCATTCCTGAGAAATAGGTATTGTTTACTGAGAACAAGCAGAAAAATATGTGTGCTGTCCCAGTCAGTCTATGGGAATTGGATAGCTACTTAGGAATTATGAGCTGTCCCCTTAAGGGAAGGCATCATGGTAAATGTAGTTAAAGGTATCCTGGGAAATGTAGACCAGGTTACATGGCCACATCTGTAATCCCGATTGGTCATTAATTTGACCCTTGAGAGGTTGGGGGAGTTTTCCTCACTTTTGCCTGAACTCCCTAACTCATGGGAGCTGCTTTCTATCGCTATGAAATGGGATAGGAGATAACCATCTTTTACTTTTCTGCCTTCTGCACAGAGGTGGATGTGAAGCTGTACAGATGCAGATAGATAACTCAACAAGACGTCCATAACAAATTACATTTATTGGTTCATCAGGTATCCTCATAACTCACGTTTGTGACGAAGTTCTTCTTTAATGACCAATCCTTTGTATATCTGCCTTGTAGTAAAAGGTGGTTATCTCCTAACCCATCTCGTAGCGATAGAAAGCAGCTCCCATGAGTTAGGGAGTTCAGGCAAAAGTGAGGAAAACTCCCCCAACCTCTCAAGGGTCAAATTACTGACCAATTGGGATTACAGATGTGGCCACGTAACCTGGACTACATTTCCCAGGATACCTTTAACTACATTTACCATGATGCTTTCCCTTAAGGGGACAGCTCATAATTCCTAAGTAACTATCCAATTCCCATAGGCTGACTGGGACAGCACAATATGTTTTACATGTTATTGACCATGCTTTCAAATAGTTGCTGTTCTTGCCAAATCAAAAGTAGTTACAAAAAATGGGGAGAGGTGTCCATATTCATTCATAAAAAATGATGGTGAATAGATGGAGTATTTACATCCCAATTTTCACAGATTCTGGAAAAAGTGATTTCACTATATAAGTAATTACATAATTACCTCAAATGTTGCAATGACCTTGAATAAAACTACCTTCAGTCCAAGAAAGTAACCTTAGGTACTGTTCATAGCAGCAGCAGTCATTTTGTGGTTACTAACTTTTGCATCAGTACTGACAAAATAGAAATATAGCCAAGTTACAGTTGTTAGGGAGTGTACCGCATTAACTTCAATGGAAGCAGTTTCTGAGTAAATGTAATTATGTAATATATCTGAGAATGTAAAAATAATTTCCATGATGGAAAATATTTTAAGGTTCTTCAAATCTCAACTACATAGATAAACACATACATACACACACACACATATATATGAAAGATAAAATGTTTTTTTTTCACCATTTGCAATATAATTATGTGCATGCCTCTTTAAATAGAAATTTCCTAGATTCCTTTTATTTAAATGGATTTCATTCTATTTGCAACCTTAACCACCCTTAGCCCACAGCTTTAAACAATTGTTTGCAAGAAAAACAAATCCAGTTGGCAACTAAACTTATAGTTTTTTTAAAATTCTGCAGACACATTTCATTATAATTTTTAAGATAGTAATTAAAACTAAACCAGTGTTAACGTCTATGTTAACAGCCTGTTCATAGTTTTAAGATTATGGCTTGCCCAACTAATAACTGCTTGTACAGTTTCCTCCTAAATTTTAAAGTCAGGGAGAGAGAAAGAGGGAAAAACTTAATAGTTTCCCTCCCTGACCAGTAGCACATAACAAATAAGCATGGAGTCTGGTAAATGCACAATTGCCTAAAACTGCAGGATCAACTGGCCTTTATTTCTGAAATGCCACTAATCCGTCTAAGTGTGCAATTCAAGTACTCAAGGCACATAACAATAGGGTCTCAACTGATAACTTCAGCTTGCCATTCATTCCCTTTGTTTTCTTGCGTTGTCTACAGACATTTTCTTCCAAAACACTCACCGCCCCCCCACCTCCCCCAACGATAAATGTAAGGAAAAGAACCGAGAAGGGCAACACGAACGAAGCTACGGGGTGGTTGTAATTCCCCAAAGCCTCAACGAAATATCAGTGGCATTTAGAAATCCTGGGGGAGGAGGAGAGGGAACTTCCAGGGAACGAAGCTCTCGTGTTTCGTTCGCAGGAGGGCAGGAAGGAAAAGTAAACAAACCCATCCCGCCAGGCCGAGTCGCCTCTTTAAGACCCTCCTCGCTGACCGCGGTGGCCAAACCTCCAGTTGACCAAGAGGCGGACGGATGGGAGGGCGACCGAGCAGGTGCTCGCCTTCCCCCGAACCACGACCCTCGGGGGACACGAGTCCTGCAAGGAAAGTGGCTTGGGAGTCAGGGCGTCCCTGGTGCCGCCCTTGAACCTCGGTCGGTCCGCCTCAGCCGCAACGTTTCCCGGGACGTTCCTGGGCGAAGTTCCCGGACAAACAAAAAAAGCCTCCGTCCCGACCGGCGCCTTCGCCGCCTCAGCAATCGACCGTCAACGGCAGGCCCCAACCCCGATCCCAAGTGGCGCAGGGGCCGCGCAGGGGCACCGCCGGCTCCGGCTCCCCGAGCTGCCTGCCCGATTTCTCTCCGCTTCCCCTGCTTATTGTAGTGACAGACCCTGCCCTCCAAGCCAACAAAAGACTGCCCCGTCCCGAGCAAAGCAGCCCTTACCCAAAAACTTTCCAGGAAGTATTCCATGACCATCTCGCCGCTTCGGCCCGGTTCCTTCCGTCACCGGGGGCCTCTTTAAGAAAGAGGAAACAGTCTCGGAACGCCGCCCTTTCCCTCACGGCACAACCGCAACTCCCTCCGCCTGCCCAACTCCCGTCTCCTGTGAATCCAGGCAAGCAGAGACGCATGCGCATGCGCCGGATAACCGGTCAAGGCGCAGGCACCAAAGTTCGAAACAACATAGACGCTGGAACGCGCCTGCCCGCCTTTCCCCGCGCCCCCCTCCCGGGAAGGGATTGAGCAGGCGCGCTAAGGCGGTCGGCAATGTGGAAGGGAAAGGCCGAGAGGTTTGGCGGCGGTGGGGATGTTGCAGGTCTGGTGGAAAGGGGGCGCAGGCCCCAGGATCCTTCTAGGGTGGCTGGAAAAGGCGAGCTCGAACCCAAATATTCAAAGCGCCCCCCCCCCCCCCCTCAAGTCAAGCGGATTCCTTGTTAGTGGGTTACAGGCATAAACCTGGCTGTGGCTTTTTCAAACATTGCCTGCTAACAAGGTAAACTGTAGTTTCGATTTGTAGTTCATTTGCCCGAAGAGCTAAATAGGATAGTTGTGCATGTGAATTTAGCTCAGGTCATAATTTTCTAGGTGGTGATGATGCAGAGGATGAACACAACTCACAGATTCAGCTTATTGTATTTTAACAAAATTTGACCAGTCCATTCCCCACCATCCAGCCAGACCTGAAGTTGCTTCTTGGATGAGAATCAAAACGTCTTCAAAGTAAAACCCAGAAAGTCCAGTTGCTTCTTGAAAAGCACCTTTGGGACAACCATGACCTAGATGACTGAGAATCTCCATAGGCATTTGACCAGAGTTCTGACATGGTTTGTTTTCCCCTTTGTAATGCAGGTAGTCCTTGATTTACGACCACAACTGAGCCCAACATTTCTGTTGTTAAGTGAGATGTTTGTTGAGTTTTGTCCCTTTTATGACCTTTCCACCATTGTTAAGTGAATCACTGCTGTTGTTAAATTAATAACTCGGTTAATTAAGTGAACCTGGCTTCCCCATTGACTTTGCTTGTCAGGTCACAAAAGGGAATCACATAACTATTGGACACTGCAATTGCCATAAATATGAGTCATTTGCCAAGAGCCTGAACTTTGATTACACAACCATGGGGATGCTGCAGTGGTGGTAAGAGTGAAAAATGGTTATGTCACTTTTTTCAGTAGTTGTAACTTTAAACAGTTACTAAATGAACTGTTGTAAATTGGGGATTACTTCTACATGTTTTTTGCTCATGGTTTCATCATCTTTTCATTTGTATAAAAAAGAATATGTGTCAGTTTGAATGATAAAGGCACCATTGGTTTTGGATTAGTACTTGCAATTTCTCCATACAGTAGAACATCCTGAAAGTATCCCTAACCCTAACAAAGTTGTTATACTTAATTTTGTCTTGTGGATAAAAACACCAGTAAATTGCAGGCTCTTTATATTAGTGATATAGTACAAAAAACATAGAAGCTGGTTTCTGAGTATTTTTTCTGGATCATGCTCTTTGTATTTCAAATAAAGTTCAAGGAAAGGCAAGTCTTTAGTTAAAATCAGCAAACTACTCTGATGCATATAGATTGCATTTAACATATGTGGTTCAGCATTGGGTTGAGTACAATGTAAACACAACCATAAAGGCTACATTGATTGTAAAAAAGACTTCAAGATCTACTGGTATGGTATGTAAAGCAGCCTTCTCCAACTTATTAACTTCCTACTATGTTGAAACTGCAATTCCCAGGATTTCCCAACCTGCATGTTATACAGGTAGTCCTCACTTAGCTACTACAATTGGGACCAGCAACTTGGTTGTTAAGCAAAGTGGTCGCTAAAGAAATTGCAACAATGCATACAATCTTACTTCATCTTCCCTTTGCTTTACAGAATTGTGAAAGTTGTAAAAGCAAAGATTTAAGTTACCATACTTTCTCACCAATATGGTAACTGAACAGCTGCTAAATGAGGGACAAATTAAATGAGGGCTAACTACATATTTAGGGCAATGGTTAGCAATTTCCATACTATTTAGATCTCTGGGGCAGTGAAGATTTCAGTTGGTTTCCAAGCCCTATGATAACAATATCCACTAAAAGAATGTTCTCTGTAATAGAGAAATTTCTATTTAATTCCTGTTTTCCAGCACTTCCTGTGGACAGTACTTTAGGGCAGTACCCCTTTACCAAATTCAATAGGAGAGAACGATTGTTATATATTATTTATTTTGCAAAAGGGTTAAACAAAGGTAAAAAATAAAATTGTGCATCTGCCCTTTACTGAGAGAAGGCAGCTGAAATGACCACATTTCAATTATACTCAATTATACTGTCAAACTTGCCATTCAGTTTAAGGAAGAGGAAAAAAGTTGCAATACATCATGTGACAGCGCTGTGATGCCATTTGACACCCCTGCTGTATATGGTTGAAGCAAGAGACTAAACAAACACCTTATTGATAGTCAATTTTGCAGAGGAAATGATTATTCTGTTGGTTTTCCCCTTGGTACAAGCCCCAGGCTATTAAGTCATGAGGAAGGGCAGAAATGAGTCATGAGGAAGGGCAGAAATGAAGAGAGGTGTGCTGGTGTTCAACAAGGATTTTTGTTATTTGGTTGGGAGGAGGAATTCTGTATATCCAGAATAACCCTGATATGAAAGGATACACAACAATCCTTTTTTTGCTCCTAAATTGGAAGCCCTGAAAAATCTCATGTTTTATAGGAAATTTTATATGCTTAGGAGTTTTGTGCTGGTTCTGTCCCTGACACATGAGGTTTCTTTGGCCTGAGTTTATAATTTTAGTAGACGTACTCATCACTGTCCTGGTCTTTGGAGTAAGCAATATTAGAAAAAAGTACAAAAAGGGAGAAATAGACAAAGTTTTATGATAAAAAGAAATGCAGGTAGTTCTTTTGACTTACAAAATAATGAAACAAATCTTTTGAAAAAGCCAGGATTAGCTAATTGAAGGGGGGACAGAGATGTTCTTTATTGCCCTTTTTGCTTTATTATGAAAAATCATAAATAGTACATGCTTTTCAATATTATGTGAGTGGTTTATGCTAGAATATATTTTTCTTAATCAAGAGTCTTTACTAAGATGCCATCTTTTCATATCACATTAACAGAAAACATATCTGTGGTTTCTTCCCCAAACCCCAAAATCTTCAACATTAGACTGTCCTCACTCCTAAGAGGTCTGTAGGGGGCATGCATAAATGTACCAAAATGTGCATACCGTCCCTGTCCTATTCTTTTTTTTCTTATTCGTATCCATTTCATATATTTATAACTATGTTTATACTTATACCTGTTATCTAATAATTGTTTGACAAAATAAATAAAATAAATAAATATTGGGTCAGATTACATTTTGTTATTTCCTAAAATGAAGATTTCTTCAGTCTCCTCCAAATTTACCAACACAATTGCCAATGAGTTGTCACTCATAAATGTCAAATACTGTAACTGTTTCCTGTAGCTCTCTGGTTCTTTGTCAGCTATACTTTTTATTTCTATACTATACTTTTTTTAAAAAAAGTACCTACCTGATTTTTATTTCATTCTTTGCTCTAAAACTAGTTCCATTTAGAAATCAGTATATTCAGATATATTCTTCCTTTCATTGAAATCTAGATTTTGCCTCTAAAAGGAGTGCTGGTTTCTATGGGCCTTTTGTCTTCTACAAATCTAAGGCCAAGTCATAAGATACTTTGGTTTTTTGTCAAATCACGCTAGATGGCTGTAGTTTTTGCCCTTTTAAAACCTTATTTCTTTATTTCCCAACTTTATTACCCTATTTTGAAATTTTTGAGCTCTTATTCTTTTACGTTTCAATATACCTTAGGAGATATTCGTTTTAATCCATTATTTTCCTATGTGAGGCCATTACTTCCCAATTGTATCTTTCTCATGTTGCACATCTGCATTTCTTTCACACTATGCATAAGGAAACATCTACCACTAAAATAAGAGTTTTACAATAAACTATTTTTACAATTAGTGAAATATCATGCTGGTTGTAAAATAATTGCAGTCTTGTATCATCTTGTAGGACAATACCATACCCCACAGAGGTTAGGAATTGTTGTGCAAGATTAAGCACTGAAAGGGAATGCCCATGAAATACCCATATACAGAGCAGGCCTCTTTTCTATTCTTTTCAATGCACTTAAAATAACTAGCCTTTGCCATTATTCTTGGTTAGGACTTTACTTTTCCTGTGTATAACCATAAAGAAAAACTGAAATCTTAAAATTATGCCCCCAAAAGCACTAAGTGAATACTCAGTGATTTCTATCATTTCTACAGCAGTTTTAAAATGTGTTCCCCGAGTGTGAATCACATGGGATTCTTTTCTTAGTAAAATGATCAGCAGTGATGCACATTGCAGAGATCAGTGTTCAGAGACAACTGTTGCTGTTTTAAATCTGACATTTGTGCAATAGCTTGCTTTATTCATACACAGGAAACTGGAGAAAACTACGGTATAACACATCTCCTTCCCTATTTATTTTCTTTAGTACTCCTGCTCTTTCACTATTTCTGTGGCAGTTGATGTAAAGACTAAGAGATGTATTTATTTATTTTTTAGTTTGAAATTCCAGAGGATAAGAATTAACAATTAGTGGGAGTAACAGAAATTCTACCCTTTTCATGTAGATACAGAAGTGTATGGATACAAAAGAGTAGTGCATTCATTCATTTTCTTTAAATATATATTCCTTTAACCTATCGTCAGTTGATTTTTAGATATTTTTTAACTTGAAAAGCACACTGTAGATACAACCCTTTCTGCACTACATACTCAGTATTCTGTTCAAATTTTAGATTAATTTATCTGTAAAAGATATACTGACAATTATGGTTATCATTTATATCATGATGTTCAAATTTCCCTAAATTCATATGCTATTTTGTCTATTGCTACCCATGTCCCATCTGTACAATGCTCAGTCCCAACTGCCAATCTATTAAATCTTAACAACCTTCCATAAGCTTTTTCATATATCCTACTATGATTTCCAGTTTAAATTCTGATTTTCTTTGGTTTAATTGCATCTTTTATTAAGCAAACTAAGAACAAGATTAGGAGACATCCCTAGTTCAAATAC